GACCACAAGGTGAAGAGACATTATTGAGTATGATAAGGATAGAGTTGTTCTTATTATTATTCTTTACATTCTTAAGTATGATAAGAACATTCCTGAAATCAGGTGGGATGTAAGGTAAAGGAAGCTGGAATTGTATTACACTGAGGAGTGGAAAGTGTATTCTGGGAAGAGGAGTCAGGAGGCAAATAAATGGAAATGCATGGGAAAGAGTGAAAAACCTAATTGTGGGGGAGAAATAAAAGTAGGTGGGGCTGCATAAAGAATGTGGGTTTTATGCCATTGGTAGTGGATATCACAGAAGATATATTGAGGTAGGGAACTAAGAGGTGATACTAAATACAATTTGAGGTCCATGTGCAACTAGTGTGTAAGCCAGTGGTAACCAATAACAAAGGTTAAGTTTCCTCTCTCATTCTAGTCCTAGGGTGATGTAGTCTTTTATGGCCTTCTCCTCCTTCCCAGAGTTGCTTCTGTTAACCCAGTTTCAAAAATGGTAAAGGCAGTAAATTTCATTGACTTCCAGTTGGGACAAACCCACAGATATATTATGAGAATCTAAATGGAAAGCCACCACTGGCCAAGAAATATGGCCCAGAGAAGACACAGCAACTACAGAATGCCAAGCTGGAGAGGTAGCAAGAGCAGGAGAAGGTTTCTGGCACTATAAAAAACTTGGAGAGGCTCAACGCGTCTGATTTTATCAATACCTTATTTAATCCACTGGAAATAAAAGAAAGAATTAGGACTATCGATGGGAAAGGGAGTGACTGATCTTGTGAGATGTTATCATTATTTTGTACCCACTCCATACCTCCAATTTCCTACTGAGAAAAGAAGACATACAGAATCATTGTTAATAGCAACACACACACATCAAAACAAAAAAGAATCAAACTTCCAGAAACCTTTGTAGTGTTCTAGTATTTAATAAACAGCTTATAAACATATTTTAAATAACTACAAAGTCAGAGTCTACTGTAATATGGTTACCTAGTTAACTGAGAGCCAGCCAAACTTTGGTCTCATTTATATTCAACAAATTCAACTACCTTCCAAGATACAGTGACTCCAGTGGCATATATGCATCAGATATGTATTTCAAATCATCATGTTATATCATTTAAATACACATAATTATATTTGTTAGTTATTTCTCAATAAAGTTGGGAGAAATAATCTCTTCTCAGGCCCTGAGCTTCTGGTATTTATGGTAATTACAGACAGAATAAGAGCATAAACCTTGTGGCATTTATTGATGTCAACTTTATAGGAATTATTCTTTTGGATATCTAACTAATCACTAAATATTTTCTTTTAAATCATGCAACAAGCATTTATTGAGCATCCACTATTTGCATGATGCAGATAGAATTAGATTAACTACAGTTTATATTCAAAATGAAATCTCCTGCACAGAGAGAAATATACAAGCCTTAATTAAACTAACAACAGAAAATAACTACCAAGGTTTTAACGTCCATATAAGAAATTGGGTTTAATTTCAGTATTGTAGAGCACAACATAGTATACTGTCCTTGATTGACACCCTTAAAGTCTTTACTGTATAGAGTAGATGATGTAATTTTACAGTAAAGTAAGATTCTAAGCTGAATATTCAATAAATTGTAAGGCTAGATAGACAAGAAGAGTAAAGGCATACATGACAGAGAAACTGTGAGCAAAGGCAGAAGTGTGCATGTTTAACACTTTTAAGACACTTTGAGTTTTTGTATATTTCATATTTATGCAGATTTGATTATCTAATATGCTTAACTAAATCAATGATTGTAGATATGCAATAAATGAAGTTATTTGAACCTTTAAGTGCCCCACAACAAATGTATCTATGTCCAAACAATGCTGCTAGGCAACCTCTTCCTGCCTTTAGTCCTCCTCTCTACAGCTGTAGGTTTCTCTAGGTGTGATTCAAGTCCATTTCTTCCCAAGGTTCTGAAGACCTTGCTTTCCATCTACAGAATTCATTCATAGGAGACGCTTACTTCACCCTATTCTATGTTCATTGTTTCCCTAAGACTATTGTCAATCTCTGGTATTTGATTTCTTCAGAGATACTTACCTGTAATCCTAACTCACTTCTCTGAAAGGTTGAATCTAACTAACTCATGCTGGGCGACCAGGTAAATGGCTCCTTCTGTTACCTTCAGGGGCCTCGTCCAGTATTTGCTTAACCCTGGGAACTAGTTCAAACATTCATGTTTTCTACGCTAACAGGTTGTTTGAAAGCTTTAATAATACCTACTATGCTGCTGTGGCTTGAGAGGGACACTTCATCTCCCTTACCTAATTCTTTTCTGAACATTACTTTTTCCCTGTGTCCTTATGTTTAAATAGTCATTATAGTTTAAAAATAACTGTCATTGGATCTTTCTACAAGAGTCTTATGAAGCTGAAAGGGCAGAGATTATTATCACCACATTGCATATCAGGAAACAGCTTCAGAATGATAAAATGTCTTGCTAAAGTTATAAAGTTAAGAAAGGGCAGATAGTACTAGAATCCACGTCTGTCTAATTATTATCAATCAGTTACAGTTGCAGACTCAAGGTTGCCATTGTTAGGACTCCTGCACTTCAATATTTGGAAGAATAGGAAGTAGAGAGATGCGGGTGGACAATTGCCTGGATCCAGAAATACTATGGAAGGAGGAGCAAATTGGTGCTGTCTGGAGAATTTTGGTACCTTGAAGAGATTTGGTAAACCAGTCTGTTTTTTATGCTTCTCTAAATATTTTGGATAATTTTTATTACTCATGATAACAATAGACCAACTTCAAAAAGATTAATGTATCTCAAATAAAACTAAAAATAAATAGGGAATTTCTACCAAGTGGCCTTAAATAGAGAGGGCAGATAGTTTATTAAGGCAATTATAGAAAATAAAAACCCCCCATAATAGAAACCAGTAATGGTTTTGGAAGTTTTTCTATATAATATAGATGAATTATATATATATATATATATATATATATATATACACACACACACACACACACACAATTATATATAGCTATATATAATTATGTATAAAATTATATATAGATGAAATTTTTCTATATAATATAGATGAATTATATATATATTAAAAAACCTGGTGATACTTATATTCTGAGAAATTTTTGATGTCATAAACATCTAGTCACACCTCAGCAAACTGGAACTCAAATATCTGGCAACCTCAGCTATCCAAACACAGCTGACAGAACCAGGAAGGAAGTAAAATATTTCTGCATAGCCAAAATAGATGTCATAAAGTCCATAAAGTAAAACCCATACACTTTGTTCCATAGGAGATGTTCTCTTTCCGTGCACACCCTTTGTAAATAAAATAAAACAAGCAGAATTTTACTCATTTTTATTAAATTTAAACTCTGTTATAACTAGTTTGATTAGTGTACTTTCTAAGCTATAAGATATTAGAAAGTGTTAATTAAAATTATAAGGACTTTATTAGAGAGTCCTACTGACAATGGCAACAAGTATAGATAGCCTAAAATTGGTAGAAAAAATAAGCCCTTAAAAATAAAATATATAAGAACTAAAAATTCATAGGGCCAATTTAGTGTAGGTACAAGCAATTCTACAGATTTCAATAGCTTGGAGAGAAGAAAATGTGTATAATACAATAATCAATGTTTATAATGACCCTCAGTCATCCTGAAAAGATTACATTAAATGTTAGAGTTGAAGCTCCTCTTAAATAATAACAATGTCAATACTAATAATAACAAAAATAATCATTTATAAAGTTCTTTGGAGTTTAGAAAGCACATTCTAAAAAGTTTGTCTCATATTAAGGCCATCTAGTCCAGCTCCCTCATGAACAAGTACTAAAAACAAAAACCAAAAAAAAAAAAACCCTAACTTGCTCAAAGTCACATAGCTTACCAGTGGAAGACCCAAAATTAAGATTCTGGCCCTGTGAGTCTGGATGAATAGTTCTTTCATACACCATGTCCTCTTGTTTAAAACAAACTGCTTAGGTGGGTAGGAAATAATATATTTTAGAAACACTTTCAGGTAAAATGGTGTTTTCAATATTTAGGTACTTAAAGAGATAATCATTTCTATAGGACATATAGGACACAACTTGGCTAAAATATAGATCCCCAAATAACTTCAGAGAACTTGAGTTTTTCTGTTTTCTTTAATCCCCCTGTGGTAAATATTGCCTGTTCTTGTTTTGATAGGCAGTCATTCTCACAAAAAAATTCACACAAATAAAATATTTTGTGAATTCCCAATCATATAAAGAAAATATTCTCAGAAATGCATCATCAGGCAGTTTTGTCATTGTGAGAACACCACAGAGTACACTGACACAAACCTACATGGTAGAACCTACCACACACCTAGAGTATATGATATAGCCTTTCACTCCTAGGTTACAAGCCTATATAGCATATTATAACACAACAACAAATAACAACACAGTATTAAATCAAGTACAAGAGAAAATAATGCAATCAGGAGACATGGTAAACATGAGATGTATCTGCTTGCTGCCAGCTAATACAGCAAGTAAACATTTTTTCGTAAGTAGAAAAAGTAGACTGTAAAACAATAAAAATAGTATAGAGAATATATAAATAAATCAGTAATATAGTCACTTATCATCATTATCAAACATTTTGTACTGTATATAATTATATGTGCTATACTTTCATATGACTGGAAGCACATAGGTTTGTTTACACCAGCATTACCACAAACACATGAGTAATGCATTGCACTATAACATTATGACGGCTACGACATTACTAGGCAATAAGAATTTCTCAATCCCATTATAATTTTATGGGAACACCATTATATCTTGTCCATCATTGACTGAAAGGAAACATTGTTATTCAGTACATGACTGTAATTTTATAAAACTAACCACTGCCTTTTAAAATACTATAATAATAAAAACTGTTACATGAAACTTTGTTTCCAATTTCCAATGGGAGTGACTTGTGTTACAAAATAATTTAACCAAAGTAATTTTAACATAATTTTTTATTTTTCATTTATAGTGAGATTCAATTCACCAACATTCTCCTTATATATATCTTTACCTGTAAGAAATGAGGTCCATCTGGAAAACTATACGCAGGTGTGTAAGCCCTCATTGTTTAAATCTATCAAGCAAAATTTTGACTGAGGTTGTATGCAGGTGAATTAATCTAGGAAGACCATGTCACAATTGATTTTAATGAATAAAAAAAATATTTGCTGAATGAGTACCAATACATGAAATCATGCAACACAACACACATACTCAGACACACCCTAGCAAAGAGCTTTCATTGCAAACCCTGAAACTAAACTTTGTGGAATAAGTTAGAACACAGTTTTTTTTGTGTGTTTAAGCTGTATGTGTTGTGTGTCAATCTGTTGACATTTTTGAGATATTTGGGATGAATCTGAATTGTTTGTTTCTCCAAGGGGAGAAAGTAAAAGTATCATAGACATTTTAAATTACAAGAATAAGAGTTCTCATAATTCCTATTAATTTAATAAACCTTTCCTCTTTTGCCTACATTGTTCAAGTAGTGTGTTATTTTCTAAATAAAGCTAGAATCATATTACTCTCATGCACATTTTAAACATTTCAAAAATTTACCTATATCTACTGGTTTTCAATTTTTGTAAAAGAAGGTGAAAAGACTGGGCCCATTGCTGAGGAAGAGGTGTGTGATTCATTCCGTTGCTCCTCAGTTTTCTGTATTTTCTTATGTTTACATTGGGACATAAAATATAGGCATGGATAGCTCTTTCAAAAGACTAATTTTGAAAATGAAAGAAAGGGGGGCATGTTTTGCTAAAGCAGTCAACAACACCATTTTTTAAGAATCATGTTGAAGGTGACATAGCTATATTGATAGGGCATATAGATCATTCCCACTAATTATTTGATTATGTTGTCTTGGAATCATCCAAAAATTCAAGCGAGATAGCTTGAAGATCCTCATTTCTGTGATGAATTTCTAAAACACTGTCCTTGCATCTCACACATGACTGAAAAACCACACTACCATGTTCTGAAAATCTATCACGAAATTCTGAGGTCATAAAATAATATACAACTGGATCAAGACAGCAGTTCAGATTTGCAAGACACAGGGAAATGATGTGGAAACATAGAGTACTCTTGATAAGGGAGCAGTTTGAAAACACATCTTGCTTCACCATCATAAAAAGTGGGAAGTTGAGGTGATAAGGTGTAAAACACACAATGAATACCACTGCACACATCAGAACCATCCACAAAGCCTTTTTTCTCTCTTTGGTATTCTGAGGGGGAGCTTGGATTTCCTGTAAAGATTTTCTCATTTTCCATGTACAATAAGTAATAATCATAACAGGTAACACAAACCCTCCAAGTTCAGCTATAGTTACCATGGCAATGGAGGAAGCCATACTAATGGGTTGAAGCCTTAAATCAGCAAAGCAGAACTCAGTGTTGTTGGTTAAGCCAGTACTTCTCAGAATTGGAAGTGGCAAACAGGCAGTGCCCACGGTGACCCAGATGGCAGCACTGATGCCCACATCGTACCTACGCTTCCAGTCTCTGGCCCTGAAGGGCTTGAGAAGAAAGAAGCACCTCTGAAGGCTGATGCAGGTCAGGAAGCAAATGCTGGCATACATGTTGAGATACTTCAAGTAGAAGCACAGCAGGCAAAGGGGTGTCTGGAAAGGCCAATGGTGGTTGATGTAGTAGTAAATCCGGAGGGGTAAAGACAGCACATGAGCAAGGTCAGCCACAGAGAGGTTGATCATGAAAATGATGGCTTTATTTTTCTTGCTGATGAAGCGCCACAGAACCCACAAGGCTGCGGTGTTGGTCAGAAGTCCAGGGATGAAAATGGTAATGTAGGTGGTTGCATAGAGGGTGTACTGAAATGGCATTTGGAGATCAGTGCACTTTGCTCTTGTATTGTTTGTGCTGTTACTTCTCATCTTGAGGATTTATGTTCCTTTATTAAGGAAAGCACTATCAGAGCGACAATTTCTGCACAAAACAGAGTAAAAATAGTGTCAAGGGCATGTCAATCCATAGTTGGATATACAAATGTATTTGCTTCCCACTAAAGAAGTATGCAAGTATGAACTTTCATAAATTCAGATGGCCTTTTTTATGTAAACTGAAAATATCATGGAAATCTATAAATGGATAACAGTAGTTTGAGAAATATTTTCAAGAATCAAAAAAATCCACTGTTTTGGCAATAACCTCAGTCAGGATTTCCCTTTTGTAGTTAATAGAATAATCAAACTTGTAGAGATAATCAACAAACAAGACCTCAGTAAAACATAGCTCCCTCAAAAAACTGTGGTACATTTACACAATGGAATACTATGCAGCAGAAAGAAAGAAGGAGCTCCTACCCTTTGCAACAGCATGGATGGACCTGGAGAGCATTATGCTCAGTGAAATAAACCAGGTGTTGAATGACAAATACCATGTGATCTCACTTTTAACTGGAACCTAATCAACAAAACAAATAAGCAAGCAAGATGTAACCAGAGACATTGAAATTGAGAACAGACTGACAGTGATCAGAGGGGAGCAGGGAGTGGGATAATGGGGTAAAGAAAGGGAAGGGTCATCAAGGAACATGTATAAAGGACCCATAGGCAAAGCCAAAGGGGGTAGGATTGAGGGTGGGAGGTGAGGGTCAGTGAGGTAAGGTAGAGTAGAGGGGGTGAAATGAAGACAACTGTACTTGAACAACAATAAAAAAGAGAGACTAAACAAACAAAAATACATAGCCCTGAAACATACATTCTAACATTCTTGTGCAATTCCACATTTCAGCTTCTCAGTTGTCTCCATCTTTATTGTAAATTTGAAATCTAGCTGATTTCCCTATCATCAACTCTGGGCAACAGAAAATTTAATCCATTTTTTACTTCAATCTTATCAGGGATTAGGTGATTCCTGGGGTAAGTATATAAACATTTGGAAATGAAACAGGATAAGAGCCTGGGAAGTGGCTGGGAGGTCACCAGGTTTAGAAGGATAGTGGCTTGGAAAAGATGGTGAAACTCAGATTATCTTTCAGAATTTAGCTGAGGGAAAAATTAGTTCTGCTCATAAATCATGGCAGATTCTAGAGGCTTCTGTAACTTTAATGATCTGTGTTTATTTACAGAATTATAGTAGCTTCAGACATTCACATGTATTGAGACTATCCTTGCAACCATTTCAAAGAAAACTTCCAGAGTATGGGAAATACTACAGGGTATCTCCTGGTAGATGCAACAAAAGAAGCTGTTTCTACTTCAGCTTTCAGGAGAAGTTCAGTGAAATTTTAATGTAGGTAGTTACATTTTTAAAATATTTTAAAGTATACTTGGCACACATTATTATACTAGTTTCAAGTGTACAACATAGTGATTAGACATTTATGTACCTTGATAAGTCTACTCCTCACACCATAGATAATTATTATAATATTATTGACTATATTCCTTATGTTGTAATTTACAGTCCCATGATTATTTTGTAACTACCAATTTGTATTCCTTAATCTTTTTATTTTTTCACCCAGCAACCCCCTATCCTCCTGCCATCTGGCAATCATCAGTCTGTTCTCTGTATCTATGAGTCTGTTTATATTTTGTTCATTAGATTCCACATAGTGAAATCATATGGTATTTGTCTTTCTCTGTCTGACTTACTTCACTTAGCATAATACCATTTAGGTCCATCCATATTGTTGCAAATAGAAAGATTTCATTGTTTTTATAGCTGAGTATTTTCCATTGTGTGTATGTGTGTCTGTGCATACATATTAAATTTTCTTTAACCATTCATCAATCAATAGACACCAAGGCTGCTTTCATATCTTGGCTATTGCCAATAATGCTGAGATGAACATCGAGGTGCATATAACTTTTTGAATTATTGTTTTCATTTCTTTGAATAAATACCTAGAAATAGATTTGCTATTTTTAACACTTTAGTATTTTTAGGAACCTCCATATTTTTTTCTAATAATGCCTGGCCCAACTCACAATCTGACCAACAGTGCACAAAGGTTCCCTTTTCTCCACATTTTTAAGAACCTCCATACTTTTTCCAATAGTGGCTGCCCCAACTTAAAATGCACAAGGGTTCCCTTTTCTCCACATACTCACCAATGTTTGTCATTTGTTGACTTCTTGATAAATAGCCATTCTGACAGGTGTGAGGTGATATCTCATTGTAGTTTTGATTTACATTTTTGTTATGATTAGTGATACTGAGCATTTTTTCATGTCTGTTGACCATCTGCATGTCTTCTTTGGAGAAATGTCTATTTTTAACAATTGTAGTTGTTATAAAGTTCTTTCCTCTAATGAATCAAAATCTGTCATTTCAACCTAGTTCTGCCTATCAAAGCCAAGTAAAGTCCTGTTATACAAGAAACACTGCAAATATCTAAAGACAGCCATCCTGTCCTCTCTCAAATCTTGTTTTTATTCAGGAAAGACATTCATTTCTAAAATGGTATGATCCTTGCTCTTGTTTTTGTTTTTTTGGATCAGAACATTATTGCTTTTGGCAAAAACCCACTATACTACTCTTTCCTTTAACCTTGAAAATGGCAGTTTAACTACCCAAAAGTTTGATATTTTTAGGAAATATAACTTAAGTGCTCACTTGTAGAAAAATAAAGAATAAATGAGCTTTTAATGATTCCTTGTACTTTTTATTGCTTGCAAAGACAGTTAGTTTGCTTCATATTTCATGTACTTAAAGAGAAAATGACACAGATTCAACCTTAACTGAAAGCAACATAGCGTCTAAGAAAGTGCCTACTTAACCCTAAGCACAAGCAATTTAAAAAGTTTTAAGATTAAGTTAACCCACACGCTGCTCACATAATGCCAAATAGACTGTTTGATCCTTTTGCACTGACTAGATGGGATTTTCAAATAGACTGTATTTACTAACTGACATCTCATTGCAGTGAAGCAATCAGCTCATTTAATTAAATAACTTTTAATGTTATTTTAACTGAGTCGACCATTTTGCTGAATTGACCAGTTTGTCTAGCAAATTGTAAATATCTCTTTTGTGGTTTGTTTATCCACTCAACTAAAATAATTGATCTCATGTTCTGCATAATCAACCTAAAGAAAAAAACTATGTAAGCTTGACCCTGAATTAATTTTGAAATAAAGTTTAGAGAATAGTTGATATACATGAAGTCATCCCTGATTATCTTTAAATTGGTTATAATAACAGTTAATAATCAGTGGGTGTCTACTTTGGGCAAGGTGCTATACTAAGTACTTTATACACACTCTGGCTGTCAATTATAAACAGCAATACCACGCAACAATAAAATATTACCACCATTTTACAGATGGGGAAACTAAAGCCCCAAGAAAGGTAAAGCTCACTTCCTCCAAGAAGCCTTCCTTGACTTCTAATTCCATGGAGTCTATTCTGTTGCCCAAAATGGCCCGCAATCTCATACATACCAAAAACTCATTATTACTTCTTCCTTTCCTCCATAGTAAGTGTCTTAAACATAGCTGGTATCTACCAAGTGTTTTTTGAGTGAATGACTGGATGCATGATGAACGGATAAATCAGGGGGAAAAAGTCCCAGTGAGAGGAAGTGAATGAGTGTCTGGGGAATTAGAATTTAGCTGTGATGTTTGATTTGACCACCAGGTGTCAGACGTATACCAACATTCAAATATCTTGATATTTAACACATAATTTGTTTTAAAATTCAATTAAGGGAGAAACCATACAAAAGGAGAGAAGTATCAACAATCTCCTGTGCAATGACTGGAGAAGAATTCTTTAAAGGGTATTTTAAAGAGTTTGGATTTTTTTTAAGCCTCCATACTTTCTCATGTAGTTCTCTGAGGTTGTTTTATAAATTTATTACATATTCTTAGAATATTAAAGCTGTTAAAGTTCATCAGGATCTGATCTTGCAACTTTTTACAGATGAGAAAACAAAGGCCAAAAAATAGAGAAATTAAATTTTCCAAATTCACATAGAAAATTACTGGCAAAACCACAGAGCAATTTTTATTTTTCCAAGAAACTGTAATATGAAAACCATATTTTTGTAATTATATAATAATAATACAAACTTTCAGAAATAAACCTATGCCAGATTTCGAATACTAACCTTGACAGTGAACTGTTACAATAAGAAGGATTAGTTCTTTCCAAATATTCCAGGAAAAATACAGTGTTTTTAAAAACAGAATGAGTATTCCTAGTCCCTAAAGATAAGATTGTGCAAAATCTGCTTATAAGTCTTAGATTAGGTTGTTTCTAAACCTTCATTATTTTTTCACATAAGGAATAGAGTTTCACATTAGAAAATAGAGATAAGTAAAAACAAACCAAATATATATCACCAATATTTCCATTGCTAACATTTTGGTGGATAACACTCTACTTTCTTTTTAAGCTAGTAAATCTATAAATAAAAGCATGTGTAGATATTTTAACTAAATTTGACTCATATTCACATACATTTTATAATCAGTTTGTATTTGATCATAATTATGAATATAGTATCTTGTCAATAGATATCTAAATAATCATTTTAATGTATCCTTAGAATTCTACCAGAATTGTGTATCATAATTTATTTTTCTAGTGCACATTGAGCTTCATAGTCATATTTTCACTCTTAGAAACAATGCCTCAAAAAACATTCTTGTACACACATTTGAGGAACTAATTTCCTTTCAATGAGCTCTTGAAAGTGAAATTTCTAAGCTTTTGATGTATAATGTCTTCAGGAAGGTATCCTGTATGAAATTCCAAAGCTGATACTCTTCCCCATAACACCACAATGTCAGATCTATTGGTTTTCCAAATATGTCAAGCTCTTTTTAGCTGGAGGAAGAAGTATTCTGACTCATTCTTTAAGGTCTACCTCAAAGCAACTTCCTCTACCTAGTCACAAATCGATCCAAACAGAATTTATTATTCTCACCTCAATGCAATGGTTCTCCAACTTGAGCATGCTTTAGAAACATTTGGAGGGCTACCCCTCCTAGAGTTTCTGATTTCGTAGGTCAAGGTTAGGGCTCAAGAATTTATACTTCTAAGAGTCCCATGTGATCCACAGACCATTTGTTGAAAACCACTTTTCAAACTGGTTTAGACCAGCAAGGATTGTGTTATCTGAGAAACCATCTCCTAACAAATATTGTGAATCATTTAATTACTGGTATAGACTCAATGTTTGAATTTTTATGCTCCCTTCAAATTCATGTGTTGAAACATAATCCCCACTGTGATGGTATTTTGAGTAGGGTCTTTGGGAGGTGATTAGGCCATCAGGGGATTAGTACCTTTCTAAAAATGAGACCACAGAAAGCTCCCTTGCTCCTTCCGCCAGTGAACAGACTACTGTCCATGAGCCAGGAAGTGGACTTTTACCAGACACTAAATCTCATGGCATCTTTATCTTAGATTTAGCCTCCAGAACTGTGAGAAATAAATTTTATTAAAACAACTCAGTCTATAGTATATTTGTTATAGCAGCCCAAACGGACTAAGACAACTAATATATTCTTTCACTTTGAATGAAGAAACTCACACAAAAAGTTTGTGACCTAATTTTCATAATTGTGCAGTACAATCTGGTCTATTTATCTTCATTCCATTATTTCTCCTGTGTTGACCATGTGGAACAAAAATAATAAAACAAAACAAAAATAAATATAAAAATATTCTATTGTGTTTAGGTTTTAGAAAGAAATAAGGATTTCTTTTTTTTTTAATCTGCAGTTCTTGTAATGCTATAATAAAAAGTTGAGCTTTTAATAGTCTTTTCTACCACAATTGACCTTTGAGAAAAACCTAATAAACTTATCTGAAACATTCATATTCAGCTGATTCAATAAGAGGGGTATAAGGGGACTAAATGGTAATAAAATATAGTAAAATAATTCATGACTTAAAAAAAGAAAAAAGAAAAATGTTTAAATAAAATATAAATAAATATTGTTATTAATTTTCAGAATAACCACTGATTTATGGATTATATAAACCATGTTTCTAAAATATGTTTTATAGAAAAGTAAACTGTGTCATCTCAGAATTCCAATATTCTCCTTTGTTGTGAAAAATAATGATACTTAAGTTTAATCCAAGCAAAAAATTCATTTGTTTTAAGATTTTTCATCAGCTTTTTAAAAATTGAATTTATTAGAGTGACACTGGTTTGAAAAATCATACAGGTTTCAAGTGTATAACTCAATAAAACATCATCTGCACACTACATCATGTATCCATGAGCCCAAGCAAAATTTCATTCTGTCCCCACTCCCCCCCCCCAACTTTGCCCACCTCCTTTTATCCCCTATACCCTTTCCCTCTGGCTATCACCATGCTGTTGTCTGTGTGTACGTGTTACATATATGAGATCATATGGTATTGTCTTTCTCTGACTTGCTTAATTTGCTTAGCATAATATTCTGGAGGTCCATCCATACTGTTGGAAAAAGGTAAGAGTTCCTTCCTTTTTACAGCCACATAGAATTCCATTGTGTAAACATCTTTTTTACCCACTCATGTACCGATGGATACTAGGGCTTCTTCCAAATCTTGGCTATTGTAAATAATGCTGCTGTGAAAATAGAGGTGCATATGTTTTTTTATGATTAGTGTTTTAGGATTTTTACAATATATCACCAGAAGTGGGATTGCTAAATATATTTGCAAATGATACATCTGATAAGGGGTTAATTTACAAAATATATAAACAACTTACACAACTCAACACCAGGAAGACAAACTATCCAATTAAAAAATGGGCAGTCTGAAAAGACACTTCTCGAAACAAGACATACAGATGGCCAATAGACATGAAAAAATGCTGAACATCACTAGCCATCAGAGAGATGAAAAATGAAAACATAATGAAATGTCACCTCACACCTGTCAGAATGGCTATTGTCAAAAAATCAACAAACAACAAATGTTAGTAAGATGTGGAAAAAGATGACCGTTTTAATTTTTTGAGGAAATTCCATATTGTTTTCCACAGTAGATGCACTAATCTGCATTCCCACCAACAGTGCAGAAGCAAAATAAGCCAGTCAGAGAAAGACAATACCATATGATCTCACTCATATGTGGAATCAGATGAACAAAATAAACTTACAAACAAAATAAAACCAGAGGCATGAATCCAGGCTCCCACTACATCCCAGGAACAGCCAGCTCCCATAATCCATGGAGCATCCTATGACTCAGGTTCTCAATAAGCACCCCCCCCAAAAAAAAAACCCATTCAAGTATTGGACTGATCCCTACACTCAGATACTGGGGCCACCCTATTGGTCCCTAGCATTAATTGACTCCATTGTGTCCAGGACCCAGGATTACCTGTATAGACACTGGGCTCAAGTCCATCACTACAGACTGGAGAGCCAGGCCCTTCCCCTAGATGCAGTCACAAGACTGGTTCCCATGTATCCAAACAACAAGCCTAACTAACTACTTGGGGACCCAGTAACAAGAATGGCAGGCTCAAAAACACCAGTAGCAGTGCCACCCATGGACACCACCAGACAGCCCACTATAATCTCTGGATGTGCTGGCTGGTAAAAAATTTTGTCTGCCCAAGCCAGTCTATAAATAATGAACAAGGTGCCTGCATCCTTAAAGATCATGAATAATCAATGAAATATGACTGCACAAAAAGAAACTAATTAAAACATCAATGACTTCCCCTAAGGAAATGGAAATCTATGAAGTACCTACTCATAAAAAAGAATTCAGAATAATCCTCTTAGAGAAATTTAGTGAACTACAAAAGAACACAGAGAAAACACTAAATGAAACTTTAAAAATTCATTGACCCATAGAAATTAAACAAAAAAAATAAAAAATGAAACAGCAGTGCAAGATTTAAAGAATTGACCAAACTGAAGAATTCAATAGGGAGCTTCAACATCAAGCATGACCAATCATAATAAAGAAATTAGTGAACTATATATAAGAAACAACAGTTGAAATCATCCTGAGAAGGAAGCAAAAATAAATAAATAAAAAGAGTAAAAAAAACACCTATATGAATTATGGGATATCATTAAAAGAAACAATCTATGCATAAATTGTACTCACAGAAGGGGAAGAAGGAGAATTGTTTTTCTACTCTTTTGCAGAAGGCTTATTTAAAGAAATGATGGCTGAGAACTTCACCTATGTGGGAATAGATTTAAAAACTGAGTTCAAGAAGCTAATAGGTCACCCTAAAATTTGAACCCCAAAAGACCTCTTCCAAGAAATAGTATGCTAATGCAGTATGAATCAAAGACAAATAAAAATTTAAAAACAGTAAAAAAATAAAATCCTTTTATATAATAAAACCCTTTTAAGACAGAAACCATGCTGGAAAATAAAACTGCCAATTAAGAAAACATTGCCTGGCAAAATTGTCTTATAGAAATTAAGGAGAGTTAAGACTTTTCAAAACAAGCAAAACCTGAGAGAGTTCATCACCACTAGAACTTTCTTACAGGAAATCCTGAAAGTAGTTCTTCAAGCTGAAATAAAACTATGATAACTAAGAACAAAACATGAAGCTATAATACATACTGGTAAAGGTAAGTAAACAGTAAAATTCAGAATACTCCAGTATTGTAGTATGATGTTGTGTTAATCATTTAACTATAATATAAGTTTTAAAAACAAAAGTATTACAAATAAGTGTAGATACAATAATTTTTAATGGATACATGATATAAAAAGTGGTAAATTATGATAACAAACAATAAATATGTGGTGAGGGAGTAATAGGATACAGTTTTTTGTATGCAATCTAAGTTTAGTTATTATCAGCCCAAAATAGTCTGTTACATCTATAAGATGTTTTATGTAAGTCTCATGATGACCACAAAGCAAAAATGTACATCAGATATACAAAAAGTAAAAAGAAAGAAATCAAAGCATACCACTATTGAAAATCACTAATTTACAAAGGACAACAAAAAAAAGAAAGAGACAAAATAACTAGACCACAACAATTAACATGTGGTTTATAATTTCATACCTATCAATAATTACTATAAATATAAATGCATTAAATTCTCTAACCAAAAAGCATAGGCTTATTCAAGGGATTAAGAAATAATACCCAACTCTATGCTGCCTAAAAGAAATTCACCTCAGATGTAAGAACACACATAGGCACAAAGTGAAAAAAGAGAAAAAGATATTGCATGCAAACGGAAAACAAGAAAAAGCAGGGGTAGCTATACCTGTATAAGACAAAACAGACTTTAAAAATATATATAAAGAGACAAAGAGGGTCATTATTCAAGATTTAACAATTGTAAATACAAAAGTACCATATGTTGAAGAGATTACCTTTCAGTTAATGGGTATTCTTGCTCTCTTCTCAAACATTAGGTTACTGTGATTTCCAGCCAAGATGGAGGCATAGGTAGACATGCTTCACCTCCTTCCATAACCAGAAGAAGGATAACAACCAATCTAAAAAGAAAAAAAATAATCAGAACTTCCAGAAAATGTAACTGTATGAAAATCTGACAACCAAGGATTTAAAGAACAAACATTCATTCAGGCTGGTAGGAGACAGGGAGCCAGGGCAGAGAGAATGCAGTATGTCATGCCGAGGCAGTGGTGACAGAAGCTGGTGAGAAGGATGGCCCCACATTTACATGAGGCAGATAAAAAAAAAAAGAAGGGACAGCAAAGGAGTAATCGATCCTAGCCCCAGGCCAGACCACACAGCCCAAGGTCCCGGTGCCAGCAAATAAAGCCTCATAACTTCGCACTGTAACCAGTGGGGGTTGGGGTGGCAGAAGAAATTGCCAGTCTCTCAGGAGAGTCTGTTTAAAGGTCCACAGGGTCCTAGAATGTACACAAAACACTCACTTGGGGAATCAGCACCAGGGAAGGAGCTAGAAGGGCATCAGTCACTTATAGGAAGTGGGGGAAGTGACTGCAAATGAGGTGAGAGCCAAGAAAGTGGCATTGTTCCCTCTCTGACCTAGCCTCCACAGACAGTGCCATAAAGCAGCAGAGCAAGTTGCCCTGTCCTGGAAAATAACTAAGGCTCTGTCCCTTACAATGTAACAGGTGTGCCAACACAGGGAGTCAAAGCAGCTCTACATAATACACAGAAACACATGGAGGCTACCAAATTGAGGAGACAAAGAAATATGGCCTAAATGAAAGAACAGAACAAAACCCCAGAAAAAGAGCTAAGTGACATGGAGATAAACCAACCTGTCAGATGCAGAGTTGAAAACAATGGTGATCAGGATGATCAGAGAAATTATTGAGTACAGCCACAAAATAAAGGAAGAAGTGAAGGCTACACAAAGTAAAATAAAGAAAAACATGTAGGGAACCAACAATGAACAGAAGGAAGCCAGGGTTCAAATCAATGATTTGAAACAAAAAGAAGAGATAAACATTCACCTGGAACAGAAAGAAGAAACAAGAATTCAGAAAAATGAGGAGAGGCTTAGGAACCTCTGGGACAACTTTAAGCATTCCAATATCCAAATCATATGGGTGCCAGAAGGAGAAGAGGAAGAGCAAGAAATTGAAAACTTACTTGAAAAAATAATGAAAGAAAACTTCCTTAATTTGGTGAAAGAAATAGATATACAAGTCCAGGAAGCTCAAAGAGTCCCAGAGAAGTTGGACCCAAAGAGGACAACATCAAGACACATCATAATTAAAAAGCCAAAGGTTAAGATAAGGAGAGAATGTTAAAAGCATCAAGAGAAAAATCAGAGAGTTACCTACAGAGAAGTTCCCATAAGATTGTCAGCTGATTTCTCAAAAGAAACCTTGCAGGCAAGAAGTATTCAAAGTGATAACAAGCAAGGACCTACATCCAAGATGACTCTATCCAGCAAAGCTATCATTTAGAATGGAAGGGCAGATCAAGTGCTTCCCAGATAAGGTCAAATTAAAGGAGTTAATCATCCCCCAGCCTTTATTCTATGAAATGTTAAAGGGACTTATCTAAGAAAAAGAAAATGATAATAAAAATATGAACATTAAAACAGCAATACATTTACAACTATCAACAATTGAATCTAAAAAAAAAACTAAGCAAGCAACTAGAACAGGAACAGAATCAGAAATGGCGGTCACATGGAGAGTTATCAGTGTGTGGAGAGGGGAGGATGGAGGGGAAAGTACAGGGAATAAGAAGCATAGATGCTAGATATAAAATAGACAGGGGAATGTTAAGAATAGTATAGGAAATGTAGAAGCCAAAGAACTCATATGTACAACCCATGGACGTGAACTAAGTGGGGGGGATTGCTGGAGAGAATAGGGGGAGCAGGCAGAAGGAGGCAAACGGGAAAAATGGGTCAACTGTAATACCATAATCAATAAAATATACTTAACAAAAATATTAGATGACTGTACATACATAGAATTATTACTTGGTTCTTGATTTAGTCTACTGGTGTATGTATCAGTTTTTATGCCAGCACCATATTGCTTGATTAATATTGCATTGTAATATTGCATTTTTGTTTGTTTGTTTTAGTTTTTTATTGTTGTTCAATTACAGGTGTCCCCATTTTCCCCCATTAGTCTCCCTCACCCACCCCCCACCTTCCACATTCAATCCTACCCCCTGTTGCCTTCGTCCATGGGTACTTTTTACATGTTCCTTAACTTGACCCTTCTCCTTCTTTCCTCATTATCCCTCTCCTTCTCCCCTCTGGTCACTGTCAGTTTGTTCTTTATTTTCATGTTTTAAATCAGAAAGTTTAATGCCTCCAAGTTTTTTCTTCTTTCTTAGGATTGCTTTGACTCTTTGGGGTCTTTTGTTCTCTATGGATTTTCAATAGTTTTTTCTATTTCTGTGAAAAATGCTTTTGGAGTTTTGATACAGATTGCATTGAATATATAGATCATTTTGGTAATTATAAACATTATAATAAACCTGATAATATTAATTCTTTTAACTTATGAACACTAGATATTTTCATGTGTTTGTGTTTTCTTCACATTCATCAAAATCTTATAGTGTTGGTATATAGATCTTTCACCTCCTTGGTTAAATTTATTCCTAAGTTTTTAATATTTTTGCTATTATAAATGAGATTTTTTTATTTCTATTTCAGATAATTTGTTGTGAGTGTATAGAAACACAATATTTTGTATTCCCATCTGTATTGTACAACTCTACTAAATTTTTGATTATTTCTAACAGTTTATTGGTGAAATCTTTAGGATATTCTCTACATAAGATTATATCATATGCAAACAGAGACAATTTTCCACTTATATTCCTTTTTGCATGCCTTTTATTTCTTTTTCTTGCTTTATTGCTCTGGCTAGGACATCTGTACTATAAAGAATAGAAGCTGTGAGAGTGTCTACTCTTGTCTTATTCATGATCTTAGAGACAAAACCTTGCATCTTTCACCATCAACTATGATTTTAGCTGTGGGCTTCTTATATATGCTGAGATACATTCTATATATTGAAGTATATTTTAGCATGTATTCTTGTACATATAAACAAACCTATTCTGACATTTATGTGGAAAAGACAAAGGAGCTAAAACAATTATGAAAAACAAAACTAAATTTGGAACAATCACATTACCTAATTTTAAGACTTACCATATGGGGAAAATAATCAAGACTGTGTAGTATTGGCAGAGGATGAGATATATAGATTAAGGAAACAATAGGAAATTAAGAAATAGATCCACTGTTACTTTTATAAAGCAGACTGATATTTTTATAAAGGTGTAAAATTCAATAAAGAAAGAATAGTTTGTCAATAAATGATGTTGGTACAATTGGAATCCATCTATAATCAAAAATAAAGTCATGTTGAGCTAAACTTCATATCCTATATAAAAATTAACTCAAAATTGATCTTATGTGCAATTTAAAATCTATAAAACTTTTAGATGAAACAGAAAATCTTCAGGATTTAGGGCTTAGTAAAATGTTCTTAGATATGCCACCAAAAGAATGACCCAAAAAATAAACAAAATCAACATGTTGACCTTCATTAAAAATTAAAACTTTTCTTTATAGAAGATAATAAAAACTTTACTCTTCTTAAGAGAATAAAATACCAACCACAGACTTGGAGAAAATTCTTGCAAGCCACATATCCAAAAAGGTCTTTCATTTATATAAAGAACTTTCAAAAATCAACAGTAAGAAATCAAAGAATCCAAAGGACAATTGGCAAAGGACATAGACAACTCACTGATGAGCATATTAAGAGATATTCAACATCACCAGCCTTTAGAGAAATGTTCATTGAAACTACAGTGAAATACCATACATACCTATTAGAATATATATCATTAAAAAATACTGACAATAAGTGCTGACTAAGATTAACAACTGGATCTCTCATGATTGCTGTTAGAAATGGTAAATGATACAATTACTCTGAAAATCACTTTGGCAGTTTTTATATAAAAGTAAATATCCACTTACTGTATAAGCTACATATTCCACGCTGGTAGCTACTAAAGAGAAATCAAAACATGACTTTCTATACAAAAACTTGTCCATTAATTTTCATAGCAACATTATTTTTAATATCCCAAAGATGGAAACAATATCCTTCAGTGGGTAAATAAATTTTAAAAACTGTGGTACATCTGGAAAATGGAGTAGCACTCAGCAATAAAAATGAACCAACTATTGACATGCACAATGAGTTGCATAGGTCTCAAGGACATTATACTAATTTTAATAAGCTAATATGAAAAGTTAACATTTATATAACATCCTCAAAATAACAGAATTATAGAGATGGAGAACAACATATCAGTAATTGCCAGAGTGTTAGGGATGGGAAAAATTGTGAAGTAAAGATGTAGCACAAAGGTAATTTTTGTTGTTGTGGGTCATGGGCTCTAATTTTGAATGTTGATTTTGGTGGTGGTTACACAAATATATACATGTTATAAAATGGCATTGAATTATACATACACACAAATTAGTGCATGTAAAAATTGTCAGAACCTAAATAAAGTCTGTAGTTTACTTAGTATTATTCCAATGTCAGTTTTGTGCTTTTGATAATGTGCTATAGTTTCAAATGATCTTATTAGTGGGGAAAGCTGGGTAAAGAGTACACACAGATGCTCTATACTATTTTTATAACTTCTTATGAATATAAAAATATTTCAGAACAAAAAGTTAAAAAAAGACTTCCTCTTGAAATGTGCTGAAACCCAATTGGCTAGCTGCATGAGGAAACCAAAAAAAAAAAGAACTCACTTTTTTTTTTCATATATAACATGCTTTGGAGAAAATCATCTTATGACTTACCAAATTCAAACTTTCCAGGCTATTCATTCTCATGAATGTTGATCCACAATTAAGAAATAGGTTTCTGCTTGGTTTTGTTTGACATACAAATTGTTCTCTGGCTTAGGCAAATACAATTACAAGTCCTTCAGAAGCCTCTGGGAGAGTGGGGAAGGTAAAAAAGAAAAGTGCTTATTCTGCAACCATTGAACTGAATCTTCCATTAGAGCCAACTGTCAAGCAAGACATTCAGGAAATTTGATGGTAAATCCGAACCAACCCTGTAGCCTGCAGAGATGCAGCAACACATTGCTGTAGTCTAAAGCCAGAAAAGTTAACCCCATGATTGGCACTGCTCACTCTTTGGGCTGTTCATAGTTATGTTCATAGGTTGTTGGCTAGGTATGGAACATATGCATTATACACTTCTGGTTAATAAGTAGTCACGGTGTATGAAGTCAGCAAACTTCCCTTTTTCATTACCCTTTATTGTCTTCCCTTTCCTCCCATTGTCTTCTTTTCAATAACCTAGTACCTTCTGAAGTGCCAGCCTTCCTTGTTTAAGAAAATATAACAGCGGGCTGATAAATCAAACTCATAAATTCATTTGCTGAATTTTCTGTAGCTTAGCCTTTATCACTTTCAGGAACATTTATAGTTCAAAAGATAGGAGGTTAGAGAAACAGTAAGTAATTTCTAGTAATACATTACTAATAGTTTTATTTCTGGTTGGAGGCAGAGACACAGTTAAATCTAGGAGACATATAGGTTGGGGATGCCTTCTCCCAGTCTTAAAATAAAATGCTAAGCTGAGGCTAATTTGTAAATCTAATTCTAGTAGTATGTTATCATTTACTACCCCCCAAAATTATATGCAAGTATTATTTCCCAATCTTAAGCAATCATTTTGACCAAGTGGAAAACTGTCTCAAGCTGTAGTGAATAATTTCTCAGTCATCTAGGACACTCACATTCACAGCTGCAGTAAGCAAGACCTCAGTAAAGTCAGCCAACAGCAAACCCTCCCTCCTCCTAGGACTCTAACAATTTAGTAAATACCTAGTCCCTACTAAGAACAAGCTTTAGGTTAACCTTTGGTAGTAGGGATACAGAGGTGATTAATTTCCTCCCTCTTCCAAACCAGCCTCAGAAGCTGGTTAAAGAATTAGCTTCCTCTAAGTTAACTCAAGTTAACTTGCTAGGTGATTGGGGGAAGGGGAGCAGATTGGGGTGAAAAAACTCAATCCAGAGTTTCCAAGTCTGCTGAGGAGGTCCTGCCTTCATATTCCTGCCAAAACACAATTTCAGGGGAAGATCAGTCCAAGGAAAACTGCTGACCTCAGCTCTTCTGGAGGTTCCCAAAGCCCTGCAGCTGCCTTGCCTGTCTGGGTTTCATACACTGTCCCAAGTCTCAGCCACTTTGGAACTGCTTCGTTGGAGGAAAAGCCCCACCTATACTTGTGGTCAAAAAGATTAAGTAGAGCTGCTTTCAATATCCAACATTATGCTGCCACTTGGCAACCATAATATGCAGTTAGTGCCATCCTGTGAGTCATGCTCATGTAGAATACAGCTGTTAGTTACATTTTGTTTCTGGAAAATAAATCCAGTAGTAAAATAAAGTCTTTATCCTTATATTTCACTGTAAAAATCATTATTGAGTCATCTTTACTAAAAGGGAATTTAGTATCTCTAACTTTAATCTGGGGGAATTCAATATATACAAAATACACTGAAGATATCAATATGAATAGAGCTCACCGATATCTTGGATGACTTGCACTAACTTCTCTAGGATGTATATATTTTTTACGTATTCTAAATAATCTTACATATTTAATCATCAAACTCCAAGTGTGAAATTACCAGGCTTTTTTTTAAAGGCAACGCCTATTTTCTCATTTCAAGTAAGGAAAATGGAGGAAATTCCTTCTAACAAAGACAGCACACATTTGGATCTACTTCTTAAAATATTTCCCATGTTCTCAAATTAAAAATACATCCAGAGAAATGTTTATCATAAATTGAGAATCTGCCCCTCTGAGATTTGACAGCTGTGCTAGATTCTTGGGCTTGATAAAATCCTTTTGTGCTATTTCAAGCTCTCAAGTCCTACCCCAGAACGCATGCATGGAAAATGTCCCAATCAAAGGAAACATGTCAAATCTCAGCTTATGAAAAGATTTAGGCATTTAAATGTATTTACCATTTTTATGCTGCTTAATTTGGTTGACAAAACCCTGGGTTTAAATTTTTAAGTTTTTCCCCTCCACTGCTCACACTAACAGAAATTTGTTTAATCAACCACTATCCGACTTTTAACATCAATTTGTTAGGAGCAATGTTTAAGTCTGGATTCCTGGTTTATGTCAATTGCATATTACATTGTAGAGAAAGGAGCTTTCCCCTCTAGACAGCCACATTTCCTTATACAAAACATGCAGCAGTTTCAATGACCATTTTAACCGTTTAAACTTATAAATAGATATTACCTCACTGTAGTCTCCATTCTTCATAACAATGTATCCTTTAAAAAGTAAGATATTAGCAGATTTCAGGATTACATTTTCAGTGGAGGCAGCAGAAACTCACATTGTCGTTTTCAATTCAGAGAGATTTTTAAGTTGTATTTTTTAATGCATGAAGAGAAAGCCAAGAACCTTACCCTTTCTACCCAGATATCCGGTAGAGAACTGCAGGCTGGTACAGCTACAAGAGGAAATAACGTAGTTTATTGAGTAAAACAAAACAAAAAAAATCGTTTACCTCTAATGAGAAGTAGAACTGTTCGTCAGCATCATTCAGTTGTTTAGGAAAGCATTCCCCTTAGAGGATATTGTGGGCAAAGAAAATTGAAATTTTGGCTTTGATAAATTCAGAGTTTCCATGAGTTGTACACTTCAATCAGGAACAGAGTATGTGACTTTAATTTGCCATGCATTACCACAGTTTTCTCAGTTTATTCTGAAAGTTTAAACTATAAAAACCCAGTTAACTGTTAGAATTTTACTTTTTGTTTCAAAATGAAATAAAAATAAGTTTTAATATCTTTAAAATGTTTTTAAAATGTTGATCATTTTAAAACAGAGAACATTAAATATTGCTTTTTATTATTCTCCATCGTCTATCCAAGTGTTTTGTTTTTTTACCATGACTTCTTCCTGCTTCACAGTCTTGCAGAGGAATTCACATCTTTAAAAAAAAACAAAACATTTTTATTGAATGTATTGGCGTAACATTGCTTAATAAAATTATATAGGTTTTGAAACTGGAAAAGACACCGACATTCCAGCTGCCTGTCACTACCAAACCCAATAAACAATGACAGCGATTGAATCTTTATGGGCGCTTTATTCAGATGGCCTGTGATCTGAGAAGATGGTGGGTTCGTACCCTAATGGACCATCTTCTTTTTTCTTTCCAGGCCAAGGTTTTTATAGCAGGGAATAAACAAGGTGAGGTGAAGGGGTTTGAAGTTCAGGGAGGATTAGGTGAAAGAAACTGCAACATTCCTGTCCTGGGCAGTTAGCTGTTCCCAGGGGTGGGTGGTCATCTGTCTCTCCCCAGAACACAAAGGCCCGGATGCCTCCAGTTGTCCCCAGGTGGTAATCTCTAGCAGTGCCCCAGGAGTCAGGACGGGCCTTGTCTGTAGTTTCTGAAACAAAAGCTTTAACGTATACATTACTTGCTTGGCTTATAACTTTTTGCCTTAAACTAAAATTTTCTAACTCTTGAGTCCCCTATCAGTTTCAGTTGTACAATTCTATAATACATCGACTATATATTGTATTGTGTGTTCACCACCCAAAGTCAAATCTCCTTCCATCACCATTTATCCCCGCTTACCCTCTTTTACCTCCCCTAACCCCCTTTCCCACTGGTAATCACCATACTGTGGTCTGTATGTATAAGGTTTTGTTTTTCACTTAATCCCTTAATTTTTCCCATTCAGCCCCCCAGCCCCTCTCGTCTCTGACAGCTGGCAGTCTGTTCTCTGTATTTATGAGTCAGTTTTTATTTTGTTTGTTTGTTTGTTCATTTGGTCCATTACACTTCATATATAACTGAAATTACATGGTAATTATCTTTCTCTGACTAGCTTATTTCACTTAGCATAATGCTCTCCAGGTCCATCCATGCTATAATGAAGGGTAAGATTTCCTTCTTTTTTTACAGCCATGTAGTATTCCATTATGTAAACAGACCACATCTTTTTTTATCCACTCATCCACAGATGGGCAATGGGGTTGCTTCCAAATCTTTGCTATTGTAAATAACTCTGCAATGAACATAGGGGTGCATATATTCTTTAGAATCAGTGCTTCAGGTTCCTTCAGATATATTCCCAGCAGTGGGACCACTGAGTCATAAGAGAGTTCCATTTTTAGTTTTCTGAGGAAGTTCCATACTGCTTTCCACAGTGGTTGCACCAGTCTGCATTCCCACCAACAGTGCACTAGGGTTCCCTTTTCTCCATATCCTCGCCAGCACTTGTTTTTTGATTTATTAATGATGGCCATTCTGACAGGTGTGAAGTGATATTTCATTGTGGTTTTAATTTGCATTTCTCTGATAATTAATGACATAGAACATCTTTTCACATGGCTCTGGGCCCTCTGTATGTCCTCTTTGGAGAAGTGCCTGTTCACGTTCTTTGCTCATTTTTTAATTGGATTGTTTGACTTCCTGGTGTTGACTTGTATATATCTTTATAAATTTTGGAAATTAACCCCTCATCAGATGTATAATTGGAAAATATGTTCTCCCATACAGAAGGTTTCCTTTTGATTTTGTGATGGTTTCTTTTTCTGAGCAGCTTTTTAGCTTAATGTAGTCCCATTTGTTTATTTTTCTCTTTGTTTCTCTTGCCCTAGGAGACGTTTCAGAAAAAATTATTGCTATGAAAGATATCTGAGTTTTTACTGCCTATGTTTTCTTTTAAGATTTTTATAGTTTCAAAATTTAAATTTAAATCTTTTATGCAATTTGAGTTTATTCTTGTGTATGGTGTAAGTTGGTGGTCCAGTTTCACTTTTATTTTTTTAAAGACTTTATTTATTTATTTTTAGAGAGAGGGGAAGGGAGGGAGAAAGACAGGGACGGAAACATCAATGTGTGGTTGCCTCTCATGTGCCCCCTACTGGGGACCTGGCCTACAACCCAGGCATGTGCCCTGACTGGGAATTGAACCCACAACCCTTTGCTTTGCAGGCCCGCCCTCAGTCCACTGAGCCACACCAGCCAGGCCAGTTTCACTTTTAAAATGGCAAAGGTACATTATTTTATGTGCCCTTACCAGAGATCAAACCTACAACCATGGCATATCATGATGACTCTCTAAGTGAGCTACCTAGCCAGGGCCCAGTAGTATATTTTAAAGTCTTTACATATTTGTGAAGTTTTTAGTTTTCTTCTTTTAATTGATTTCTACTTTTATACTATTGTTGTCAGAAAAGATACTTGATATGATTTTAATTTTAAAATATTGATAAGATTTTTCTTGGCCTAATATGATTTATCTTGGAGAATGCTCCAGATGCATTAAGAAAAATGAAGAATGTGTACTATGTTGGCTTCGGATGAAATGCTCTGTGTATATATCCTTGTGCTTTAAGTGTTGTTTAAGGACCTTTCCTTATTGATCTTCTGTCTGCATGAACTATTCATTGATGTAAGTGAGGTATTCAAGTCCCCTACTATTATTGTAATGCTCTCTATTTTTTCATTTCATTTTGTTAGAATTTGTTTTGTATATTTAGATACTCCTAAATATAGGAGTATATTTTTGTATATAAAAATATGCAATATGAAATCACTTATACAAAATATGCTTTTGTATATTTTTGTACTCCTAAATAGGGTTCAAAAATATTTACATATATTAAATATTCTTATTGGATTGATCCCTTTATCATTATATAATTCCCTTCTTTGCCTTTTACTATGATTTTTGCATTAAAGTCTATTTTGTCTGACATAAATAGAACTACCCCAATTTTCTTTTGTTTCCATATTCATTTTTCTTAATCCCTTCACTTTCCATCTGTATGTCTCTTTATGTCTGAAGAGAGTTTCTTGTGTGCAGCATATAGATGGGTGTTTTTTTATCCATTTAATCACTCTGTGTGTTTTCATAGAATTTAGTCTATTTACATTTCAAGTAATTCTTCATAGATATTTCTTGCCATATTATTAATTGTTTTCTGGCCATTTTGGAGTTTCTCTATTCCTTTATTTTTCTGCTGCTCTCTTCCTTTATGGTTTAATTGCTTTCTTTAGTAATATGCTTAGATTCCTTCTTCATTATCTTTTGTATATCTACTATAATTTTTTGCTTTGCGGTTACTATTAGTTTACTTGTAACAACTAACATTTATCAACAAAACAGTCTATTTTAGACAATAGCTGAATGCTAGGAGAGGAGGATGGGGGTCATAAAGGAGGGTAAAGAGGGGATAAATGATGATAGAGGGAGAGTAGACTTGGGGTGGTGAACACACCATACAGTGTACAGATGATGTGTTGTGGAATTGCACACCTGAAACCTGTATAATTTGGTTAACCAGTGTCACCCCAATAAATTCAATAAAAGAAAAAATAAAACAGTATAGTTTATAATAACTTGTTTAAATGCATTCTACAGCTATACACTTATATTCTTTCCCCCACATGTTATATTTTTAATGTCACATTTTGCATCTTTTTATCATGTGCATCCTTTAATTATAGTAGCTATTTTTCTACTTCCTTTGGGTTTTGCCTCTCTGTAAAACTCTTTATCTCTCTTTTAATTCTGAATGACAAATTTGCCAGGCAGAATATTGCTGATTGTAATTTTTTTCTTTCAGTACTTTGAATATATTGTGCCACTACTTTCTCGCCTGCAAAGTTTCTGCTGAAAAATCTGCTCATAGTGTTATGGGGTTTCCTTATATGTAAAAAGTGATTTCATATTGCTTATTTTAACATTTTATCCATGTGTTTAAATTTTAACACTTTCATTTTAAGGTCTTGGTATGAGTCTGTTTGGGTTCATTTGTTTTAGAACACTCTGGGTTTCCTGAGTCTATATGTCTGTTTCTTTCCTCAGGGAAGTTTTCAGCCATTATTTATTCCAATAAATTTTCTGCATTTCTCTCTCTTTTGTCTTTCTGGGATTCCTATAATGTGAATGTTAGTCAGTGTGATTTTGTTTCATAAATTGCATAAGTTATTTTCACTTACTTTCAATCTTTTTGCTGCTCTGATTGGGAGATAGTTCTTCTGCCCTAACTTTGAGTTTACTAATCTAGTCTTCTGCTTCATGTAGTTTATTATTGAACTCCTCTACCCTCTTTTTTTTTTCACTTCAGTTATTGTATTCTTCAGCTGTATAACTTCTGTTTGATAGTTTTTTTTGTATTTTCTATTTCTTTCTTGACATTTTCACTGTATTTATCCACTTAATTTCTTCTGAGTTCAATGGGTATCTTTATGACCATTACTTTGAAATTTTTATCAGTTAAATTAGTTACCTCCATTTTATTGAAGTTCTTTCTGAGGTTCTATAGTATTGTTTTATTTGTAACATGTTTCTTTGTTTCTTAATTTTGCTTGACTCTCTGTTTTCCCCACCCCCAGGCATTAGATGAAATAGCCTAGCCACTTCTCACCGTCTTGAAGGCTTGA